AGGCTCATTGATGCACGTGGGGAATGAAGGCTGGCCCGTGTGGTCCGATCCAACAGATGAGCTACTGTAGCTCAAACTGCTGAAAAAGTTAACTTTGCAGTTTGTTGTGTATGGGCCTGCGTAGCTGCAGACCAGTCAGGGTGCCCAGTCTTTGTAATGTTGTTAATTTAATTTTTTTTTAATTTTTGTAATCTTTAAGTTAACACATACTGAATGTCAGCAATGTCTTCTAAGAAAAACCCCATGGTGGAAGCATGAATTTAAATAAAGATAATTATACAAAAAAACTAATTGATGAAATGTGTGAATTGTATGGCACAAGTAAGAAGTAAAAAAATAACAATTATCAACAACTTCTCTCAAAAGTCCTAACTTATCTAATACCAAACTAAGACGTCAGTAATGTCTTCCTTGTAACTAGACTAACGCTTAAAATGTGGCCTCCAGGTGTGGAAACTGAGGATTGTGTTCTTTGTTCCATACACAGGTTATGGACAGTGACTTACTTAGACATGAAAGCACCGCTCTCGCAGCGTAACCGAGCAGCCTCTGGAAACAGCAGCTCGGGGCTGTGAAGAACATCCACCAGCACAGAAAACTCTGCTTGAACCTTTGGACTGAACTGCTCCTCCAGAAGAGACACGACCCCCTGTACATCACACACAGACCCACATAAAGGCTTGATCAGATGAGAGGGATTGATACTGCTGAAGACCACCAACAAAGTTTTCAACTTGGACTCTCCTGTTTAATAAGCATTAAGCTTATGCGGTCCCAGAGCCGCCATGGCTGTAGACTCTAGTCTTGTTAAAAAGTATTAACCTGCAGCTTCTCAATGATGTTCTTGTAGTCGGGGCCACCGAGAGGCTCCTTACGCGGTCGCGTGCGGGCAGAAATCCTCCAGTCCTTGGCTGCTCGCTGCACCATGTTGCTGTGGACCTTGAGAGACAAAGTGTTGACCTGACTGTCCAGGTCCACTGGGATGGCGATGGCCCGTGCCTTAGCTGTGGAACAAATGAAGGGTTAGATGTTGGTGTGAGTTGTGCAGCAAACACGACACAGGCGTCCTAACCAATTGATCCAGTAGAGCTTCTCAGTGGTTACTGTGCAGCTCATACTTACACTGTGACATGAATTTGTGAATAAGTGAGCCATCTCTGAAGTACTGGCACAAAACCATAACAATCAATACATTTATTATTATATTTATCATTAATTTACATTTTAATAATATATATTTTAAATGTATTTCAAAGCTTAAGGCTGGACAGCAGAGTAGCAACACTCACCAACGTCAGCCAGTGTTTTGATACAGCTCTCAATATTAGCCTTCTGAGCTGAGTTGATCCAAGTGCAGCTGTAGATCCTAAAAGCAGACTGGAGCAGCTTGATGAAGACAGACTGGTTTGTCTGTGAGGAGAGAGAGCATGGAATACTGTTTCTTTTTGAAAGGGCATAAGTGTACAGAAAGACAGAGATAATCCTGATGGAAACACTTGAACATTGTTTCTGATAAGAGACATTATTACAGACTTCTGTGGAAAAAACACATCAAGCAGCTACTTTAGGTACAAATGTCTGCAATGAAACTATTTTATTGTAAAGTAGCTAAAAAGTTGGCAAAGGATTTGGACGCGCCAAGAGTGAGCCTTCCTTCTGCGGGCACATTTCACCTACTTCAGAGCTGAAAAACAATACCTGCAGGTTGGAGTGGTTGACAGAGAATGGCGAGCTGAAGAAACCCTTAACAATGGCCATCACTGTCTCTGTCACATACTTCTCCATGGCAGGATCGGCATGGTTACGGTCTGTGGTAGTGTTGCACACCTTAAATGCAAAAATGAAAGAGAGGAAAACTTCTAAACGGGCCCAATCTCACATTACATCTCTATCATCTTTTCTACTCATGCAGTATGTGAATAGATTTAGCATACACGTAAGCCTCAATGTAGCTTGACACTTACACTGCCTCATTAGAAAATTATCAGGCAGACATATGTGACCTTTAAATCTGAGACTTACCCTGGACATGTCTACCAGGAAGTTGTCAAAGAGCTTCCAGATATGGTTGGAGGTATAGATCTCCTTCATTTCTACCTCTGTGTCCACGTAGCAGTGATTCACAAAGTTCACATAAGCAGTTTTCACCTGGGGGATAAAGAAATAAGACATAAGATGCCTAAAGAGAGAAGATTGTACCCAAAACATTTCTTCAAAATGTATTTATTATTTAGCTACAATATAAAACTAAAGCTTTATTATTATTTCTTGTAAAACTGTCCGGCCTTTACCTCTGGTATACAGTGGACATCTGTGACAACTTTGACAATGTCATCCAGTGGTAGCAGAGAGTTGCATTTCAGCTCAGTGTAGACATTCTTGCCCTCGGTGCAGGCAGCCAGTAGTTCCACGAGCGTATTGTGGTAGGCCAGAGCCCCATCTTCTTCTGTTCGCTCTCGCTCTGAGCCCATCATCTGCAGCAACACTGGGAAGGAGGAGCGGTCATTGTAGAACACCAGCACATCCTCACCTCCGTTCACCAGCTGGATGTACAAACAGAGACCCCAAAGAGTTAGTTATGTGACATAAATTCAGGGTGCACCTGCAGTCTTGCCAAGTATCATGTGGTTTGATGTCATGTGAAGAAAATGTTTATTCTTACCTCTGTCATGACTTTGTCCTGACATTTCTTCACATACTTCCCATCAGCTTTCACAATGGTTTCCAAGAACTTGAGGTACTGAACATGTCTCCCATGTGTTTCGATGCAGTGGACAAAATGATGGACCACACGGTCACTGATCTCATTGCACAGCTGGAAGTTGTTCATAAAGATGTGGCGCATTGTCTCTGCTTCCAGCAACTGGTGAAAAAGAATATTCAGAACTACATGATCTTCATAAAAAACAGTATACTGATTTATTTGTATAACAGGAAAAAAAAAACAGCAGGACAGCTATCACTTTTCAGGATGCTGTTGTTTTGGAACTTGTATTTTTCCATTATAGGCTAATTCTGCAGACGCTACAGCATGTTCTGCTAGAAAAGGGGACCTCCCTAAAAAGTAAGGCATGTCAACAAGGAAAAAGTACAGCAAGATCATATCAACATACCCCTGGAGTGAGGAAAAGGTTCAGATGTTTATTTAACAGAACTTGGTTCTGAGGGTTTCCTCTGCAGAAGTTTTGCAGAAACGTATGTGCCAGGGTCATGATCTCATTCATCTTCTCATCAGTCTGTGGAACGGCAGAACCAAACAAATAAAAGGAAAGACTATTAGAGAGAATGTAAGACAGAAACCATGTTACAATAAGATTTCACAGAAACATCAAGTGTGACGGGTCATTCAGTTGGCCGTTTTGATTGTTGCTCACTTTCTCATAGGGGATCTGCAGCAGATCCAGCACCACAGTATGCACCCCCATGTTCTTCAGCAGCCTCTGCTGCTGCACACGACTCTTCTTACAGGGATAACACAGCTTACTGAGCCGCAGTAGGATCTAAATATCAGACAAACGTCTATTACAGACACACCACAGAACAAAATGACTAGAATAACCTGGAAATAAAGACACAAAGCTCACCTCTTTGACAATGTTATAGTTGTTTGCTTTGTTGCTGTCAATTTGTGGTTTATTATCTCCATCCTGTACTGGGCTCAGCACAACCTCCTGGCAAGAGAAATACATGAAGATAAAACCTTTAGCAACTACATTAAATTATCCATTTTGATTTTATTAATACATTTAACAGCATATTAAGTGTTTTAATTGCTGTAAGGTTTTAACACATTTGACTAAAGCGCCACAATTCTTACACATTCACTCTAAAAGGTTTATCTTTGGCATGCAACAACCTCTACATCCAGTCTCTAATTACCAGGCATTTGTCTCAGTGTGGTGGGAAAAGTCCCTGCAATGATCAGCATCATCCTTATCATTGCATTATTGCATCAATAATGATAAAAAACACTATATGTTACAGGCTTGACAAACAAAAACTGATTTACAGCCGGTTCCTGTTCCGACAGATATTATTTATTATTCCTAAGTACTAAGCTAACAAAACAGCTTTCCATTCACTTCAATGAACAATAACAACAAACCAAGAAGCCATTTACAGTGCAGCTGAATGACTGATTGGATGTTTAAGCTAAATATATTAACTTCCTCAGGCAAAATATATATCACACTAAAATCGGAAGAGTGAACTTTTGCTTTAAGAAGCTGGATACTATTAAATGATGGTACAGCACCTCAATGTTCTGTTCTTTGCCCTGTCTGACCCCCAGGTCTTCACCACTGTAGACTCCACTCTTCTCCACCCACAGCTCTGACTTCTCGACAGTCAGACGCAGCTGATCAAGGTCTGTCTTGATCTGCTTGTAGTTCTCTACATCCTGCTCAGACACGAGCAGCTGGACCTGGAAAACACACACACAGACACACGCACACACACTGGATGAGAAATAAACCAGACATAAAGGTACTAAAAGAAAAAAAGTGTGTGTGAAACCATATCTCTGCCAAGAAGTCTCAGTGCACCACTTTGGAAAGTCAGCGCATTGTTAAACTTGGAGCTTGTGCAGCTCTAGATTCCAGCTGAGGAAGTTCTTAGTGAAACAGTTTACAGCAGCTGCTGTTTTTGGAGAACCATCCTAATCTAAACTGATTACATCAACAAAAATCACTTAACTCAGGGAGTGCCTCATGCCACACTATGTCTCTACCTGTTTAAAGGCCTGCAGCACTTCAGCTCTTTGGCTGAAGTGTTTAAAGATGAGTTGCAGCGAGCCGGACACCAGTGGGGGGTAATCTTGCATGATGAGATGGATCAGAACCCTCAAAAACGTCCGTCCACCCTCATCGTCCAGCTCCACCGCACTTAACTCTGAGCTGAAATCATACATATGCGCGGGGTCAATCCACATGCACAATTACGCTTAGACTGGAGTTTTTTTAAGCAGGTGTTATAATTTCCAAAGAGTGTAAGGGACCAGATCAGCTTACATCTTAAAGTTATTATTTTTTTGGCCTTTACGCCTTTATTGATAGAACAGCCAAAGATTGACAGGAAAGGGGGGCAGAGAGAAGGGATGACATGCAGCAAAGGGCCACAGGATGGATTTGAACCCGGGCCGCTGCAGAAACTCCGTACATGGGTCGTCAGCTCTTCCGACTGAGCTAACCGGGCGCCCAGATCAGCTTACATCTTGAATGCAGTTTCACCTACCTGCCGGCAAACATGCTTTCTGCTTTGGTTGCAATCTCATCTATGTCTGGTTCAGAAGCTGGAGACAAAATAAAGCAGACAGGTCATTACGTATTGCAGGCTGCAGAGGTAAACACATTTAGAGTAGAACAGAAAATACACATATTAAAGAGAATAAAGTCTCACGTGTCACTGGGGGCATATCCGCCAATGAGACGGAGCTGTCAGTTATGCTCTTGTCCCCGAACTCTTTCTTGTAGATGGACAACAAGTATGTGATCCTATAGTCCAACCTCACACTCAGGATGAACTAACAGGGGAAACAAACACCCAAAAATACAATCAAACAGTTGAATAACACCCAAATTTTACTCATTGCATCACTAAAAGCACATCAAGTGGGTGGCGCTCACCTGCAGGATTTCAATGATCTTCAGCTTGGTGTCCATCACCATGACATCCTCATTGTCTGGCAGGAAGAGTCCTTTCCCGTAGCGCAAGGAGGGAGAGGTGTCGGGGAGGCTGTGCGGCACACCCCGACTCATCACCATCTGAGTCATCAATTCTCCAACTCCATGGATCGTACGCAGGACATTGTTGCCTGAAGGAAACATTCATCTTTACACATTTTGCACTGTGCAGGTGTAAAGTCTTTTTACATCTTTTCACATAGTTGACTATATTTCAGCTCAAGCCCGAGAAAGTTATATGTGCGGTGTCATAAAAGCCAAAGGACATCAAAATGCCCAGAAACTTTGTCCACTTATGTTAAACATTTCCAAAAGAGTTTTTCAATCCAATTTTCCTGTGCTGAATTATTTCCAAGAGCAAGATCTGTCCTTTCTGTTTCTGATCTGCAGAAAGTAATTTTTAACCTTATAACGACATGTCTCTAACTTCATATTTTGGTTCCACTGACATCCAGGCTTCTTTATCTTGTCCAAAAAACCTCTTCTAACAAGATCTAAGAACTATTACCCCATTTCTTTTCTCACTCTGCTAGCTCTGTGTTACTTTCACAGCTGAATTCTAAATTATAATGCTTTTATGCGTAGCCTTGCTCCTGCATATATTTATTAACTGCTGCATCCATGTTTCCCATCTAGAAACCTGAGGACTATTGACACTGGGCTCAGTGCTTCACTTGAAGAAGACAAATAATTTTGTCATATTTTAAAGCTAAATCATTTGTTTTTTATTAACTTGTTTTTTATTAATGTTGTTACCCAAATTACAGATCAGCCTCTTCACTGCTCAATTATCTTAGTCCCTTAAAGAGGAAAGAACAGTTCTACTCATTAGCTTTAAACTTTCAAGCTACTGTTTAAAGCGAAAAGCCTAAGTTGACCAATGCAATGAAATAATGCACTTATACTGTTTAACTGCACTGACCAGCCTCTGGGCTCTTGTTGAGCTTGTTCATGAAGGTGAGTGGGTGCTGGACAATATCCAGGATGGCCAGCAGAGTGCGTGTTAGACGCAGCAGCTCACTAAAGCTGTAGAAACCAAAGTAAACCAGGTTACGAGCCAGATTCACCACCTGGAAGAGAGAAGTAAAGCAAGCACATCACTGAAATAGCCTATGTGAGAAAATAAATGTGTATTTGCAAAAATGTTGAGTTTATTTTACCTCTAGTGTGAGTTCATTCTTGTCTTTGTCACCAAATGGAAAAGGCTGACTGACCACATCTCTAAGGTATTCTTCCACAAACTCCATGGTGGGAGCAAACTTCCTCTTCATCTCATCTCTTGAGGTGTCAGTAGACTCATACTCAAACCTGTGGTAAAGCACAATCACAATCATAATCACAACAATCACACCCCGTGCATAATACACGTTATTGAACAGATATACGCTCACTCATGGATGGTGATCTTGGAGGGGATCTCGGTCCAGAGGCGGGCGTAGCGTACAGGCACCACAGCCTCCTGTGGGTCACGGTCCACATGCATATGCAGCATGAGACGGCAGAAGGAGGCTCTGAGGTTGTAGGGTAGGCAGTCGTCAAACATGCAGCGCAGGATCAGATCCACAGGTAGCTGACTGGAGATCTGGTTGATGGCTAGGTACTGACGGTCCAGACACATTTTAGCAAACAGGTTGAGCTGGTACCTACAGAGCAAGGGAGGGATATGTGGCGAGAAAAAAAAACATGGGGAAAAGGGGTAAAACATACACATGGTTGTTTCAGCTATTTTTATTTTACTGAGGAAAGAAGGTGTAGAACATGGGGTCACTAAATGCAAGAATCCCACTGTCACCTGTAATAAGTGATGATATCTACATCCATCTTATGATTGCCCTTAGAATCCTGGGCCAAGTGTCGAATGGATTTGCCATGAGGCTCCTTGTGGCTGTCTATCCAGTAGAGCCAAACCTCCTCGTCCTCTACCTCCTCCTGCAGCAGAGATGACTCCAGGGTGGTCTCTGTGTTAGGGATTAGTCTGGGGAGGGGGGAGCGAGAGGGAGAGAATGTGACATAAAGCAGCTACTAGAAAAATTGCTCACATTACACTCTAATGTAGAGCTGCTGTTGGGGCACACTGGAGGAAACATGCTGTACAGAGCACTGTATGTGCGTGTTTATACGTGTTTAAAAATGAACGACTGAAATATGACAGGATCAGCTTGGATGTTTATATATAGATACCACGGGGTGTGACTCACTTGGTCTGGATGAGGATATCTGCGTTGGTGGGGTTCAGCATAAATTTACAGATAAGCTCCTGTGTGACGGGGATGGCAGTCTTGTTGGACACACAGAGATCAGAGAGATAATCCAGGAATCTGGGAGAGTAGACCAGACATGAATCAACACAACACAACACAATCAATGTTGTACACACAAAAAGATTCAGCATAGGAACACATGAACTGGTTGCACACATGGAAATGTGAGTGCGTTCCTGACAATAGCCTATGTAGCATCTTTGACTGTCACCTTCCCCCACCCATGTCAAAATGTTTTGGAAAATGCTTCACTCGTTATTATAATTACTCTAATTTCTTCTATGTATCTTACAGTATACACCAATCAGCCATAACATTATGAGCACTGACATGTGAAGTGAATAACAGTGATTATCTCGTTATCATGGCACCTGTCAGTGGTTGGGATATATTAGGCAGCAAGTGAACATTTTGTCCTCAAGTTGATGTGTTAGAAGCAGGAAAAATGGGCAGTGTGAGGATTTGAGGGACTTTGACAAGGGCCAAATTATGATGGTGAGACGACTGTGTCAAGCATCTCCAAAACTGCAGCTCTTGTGGGTATTCTTGATCTGCAGTGCAGAAGTGGTCCAAGGAAGAAAAGCGGTGAAATAGCAACAGCGTCATGGCAGCAAAGGCAAACTGATGCACGTGGGGAGCGAAGGCTGGCCTGTGTGTCCGATCCAACAGACGAGCTACTGTAGTTCAAACTGCCGAAAAAAAAATGCTGGTTCTGAAAGAAAGGTGTCAGAACACACAGTGCATCACAGTTGGTTGTGTATGTGGCTGCATTACATTATGACCACCTGGGCACCCTGGTGGCTGAGCGGTGTAGGTAATGTGGCTACAGCTCAAGGGTCAATAACAACACTTCACTGCAATGTTTGCTGATGATGTTTGCTGATATAAGTACTGGGATTTTAGAGTACTCCATTTTTTTTGTTCCAATCGTTCATCCAAAGCTGTTATTGTGGATCAAAATCCCTGAGCGTTTTTGAGAACATATCTATTTGGGGAAACCCAAACCTTGTTGTTCAGCTACCTGAAAGGATTTGATTCACCAAATACGAGTGAGATCTGAATACCAATGTGTGCAGGTATTAAGTCATGGCTGCATGGATGCTGATATGCAGCAGGTACCCTATGTCCTCAAACTTGTAGCCTTGTAGAAACTCCCCTTCCTCTTTGTTTTATTTCCATGTCCTTAGAAGTCATATAAAGCAAACTTTATATAAAAGAGAAAACGAGGAGAAAAAAACTGTCACCTTGATGTTTCCACTGCAGTTTTTCATTGAAGCTGGTCTCAGAGGACAAGTGCTAAGGAAAACATCATTATGTGGGGAGAAATGTACCAGTAATAAACCCAAATGGCACTGAGAGGTGCAGTTGTCAACCATGATAAATGGCACCTATGCATCCTGAATGTGTTTGGTGCCCTTGCCATGTTGACTCCCTCTCCTGAGGGCGGGCTCTCGACTGCTGGGTTTGGCCTGGAGCTCCAACCTTAACCCCTCCACTCGGGGCTCATCGCTGACAGGATGGAGGCGGCACCGAGATTGCCAGGAATTCTGACTCACAATGCTTTATGTATTTTCATTTGCATTGCGGTTGAAATGTGTCAAAAGTGTCACGCTCGAGGAAAATAATCTTTCCTCAGAGAAGGAATCACATAGCATAACCATGTTTTGCTGTAACATTAAAGGAAAGGCTTGCTTCGTGAATAACAC